TTGCCCTTCTTTGGAATTGGAACATAAACTGACCTTTTCCAATCCCGTGGCCACTGTTGCATTTTCCCTCTCAGATATAAATATGTCTATTTCTGTTTTCTACTTGTTTTATTGTTTTAATGTGTTGTACATAACCTAGAGTTGCTTGGATAATTGAAATGACTTATAAATTGAACAAACAAATAAGAAATTGCCCAGTGCTAAGAAGATGTCCACTATGTTACCTAAAGTGTCCTTTAAAGTGTTTTGTTGTTTAGTCGTTAAGTCGTGTCCGACTCTTCGTGACCCCATGAACCATATTGCGCCAGGCCTTCCTGTCCTTCACTGCCTCCCTGAGTTTGCTCAGTTTCATGCTCATTGCTTCAGTGATGCTATCTAACCATCTCATCCTCTGCCGTCCTCTTCTCCTTTTGCCTTCAATCTTTCCCAGCATCAGGGTCTTCTCCAAAGAGATCTCTCTTCGCATCCTTTTGCCTTCAATCTTTCCCAGCATCAGGGTCTTCTCCAAAGAGATCTCTCTTCGCATCCTTTTGCCTTCAATCTTTCCCAGCATCAGGGTCTTCTCCAAAGAGATCTCTCTTCGCATTAGGTGGCCAAAATATCTGAGCTTGAGCTTCATTACCTTTAAAGTGTACATAGAACAAAAAGGATATTTGTTCCATCCCCAAATGAATGACTTTTGCATATCTCTAATATTTACCTTTATTAGTTTGTCAGGCTTTGGGGCTATTTTGTTTTTATTTATTCATTCAATTATTTTATTATTAGTTATAGCAACAAACTATCAGGTAGAAAATAGTCCTATGTGTATTCAGTTTGAAATTAGAAAAAATAGTCCAGAATTAATCTTACGCAAATAGCATATGTTTCCATTGTTTTTAGGAAGACATAACAATAATTAGTAAATTGTGGTTAATGTAAGTATATACAAATACAATACAAAATACTTTAATGACCAAGTATAAAATATATCCAAGGAATTTGTCTTCAGTGACAAACAGGATATATATTTCACATAATGGAAGATGATTGTATAAAATGTGCAAAATGTCATTAATGTGCCTGAAGTAATATGTAATAAAAATATCTATGTTTGATTATCCATATGGGGTTTTTTTTGCATTCTTCTTCACAGAAAATATCTCCCTGGGTGGGTCTACGCAAGATTAACATCTCCTACTGGGGATGGGATGATATGTCTCCCTTTACTAACACAACATTGCAGTGGCTTCCTGGAGAACCAAATGATTCTGGATTCTGTGCCTATCTTGAAAGGGCTGAAGTGGCAGGTTTAAAAGCAAATCCTTGTACAGCCAAGGCTGATGGCCTTGTTTGTGAGAAACCTGTTGGTAAGAAAGCTTACTATATGACATATATACTTCTGGAATACTTTTAGTGTTGCATAATGAATAGAATGAGTATTGACTAAATTCTAAATTTATTTAAATTACAAAGTATACCAGGGAATGTTTTCTTAAAAATGTATCTTATTTCTCTGAAGGATTTTAACTGGAATCTTAGACTAGGTTCACACATCATGTACCTCACACCACAGAGTAATAGAATTTTGTGAAAATTATTCTCTATTGTTGACATCAGCTTCAAGCAACATAAATGTAGATTCTATACAAGGACAGCAGCAGATGGACAGTTGAATGAAATAAGCTATATAATAAGAAATAGAAGCTGCAGAAGTGCGACCCGGTCAGATTGAACACTTTCCGGTGCAAAGTGTGGAACAGAGCATAAATAAATGATGTGCAATATATGGCTTAATCTTAGAAAATTAGAGATTAGATGTGACAGCAAGAATATAGAATCGGAATATAAGATGAATGTATGGCACAAATATAGCGTACTTATGCAAAAGAGAACTTGAGAAAGTTTTGATAACTGAAGCAAAAAAAAAAAAGGAAAAAATCTAAGTGGCTTTTAGAAAAAAGAATTAAGAAAGCTAGGGAAAGATGGAAGATGAAAGCCTTGGGCAACAAGAAGGATGCATAACAAATGAATGTAAACTTCAAACATCCATCAAGAAGGACAAGGACAGTTACATAGTTAAGAATGTCAACAGATAGAGGAACATGTTGAGAGGAAAATGGAAGACATTTTTAAGAAGATCAGAGAAATTCCAGGAAAATGTATTTAATCAGTTTATAGGCTTTCTCAGTTGCAATTGCATTTGACAAACTTTTACAAGATTGTGAAGGATAAGGATCTCTATGACAACAAAGATAAAAAAAATAAAATAGTGATATTTCCAGTGGTAATAGATGGCTGTGGAAGCTGGACACTAAGAAACAGTGAAAGAAGAAAGATAAATGTCTTAGAAGTATACAATAGCATGTCTAACCAGTTGATCCTGAGTGGGATAAAGAGTTGGACAGCTTGCTTGTGGCAATGATCAGCATGCTCAAACTCATACGGGTGGATAGGTGAAATGAGTGCATAATAAACTAGAAGAAACAGCTATGCTTGGCAAAGTGAAGGCAGTAGATAAGGTGGATAGACAGAATCAAGGAGATTACCAAAAAATTCTTGAAACAGCTTGTACTAGGGACAGGCCGAGATGGCAAATATTTGCTCATTGCAGTCAGCAAGTATTAAAGTCAACTTGATAGCATCTCATTAACTAATTAGCCAACTGCTTTTTACTTGTTTTAATTATACACTATAAGCTTTTGTATTTTCATTTCATGAACCATGCATCATATTAGGAAAACAGAATATATTGTGTTGGTAAAAAGAAGAGAAAACCCAGTACATTTAAATGTTTAGCTTGTTTTCTGTTTGCATTTGTTTTGGCTGCAAATATGGTTGCCAGGAGGCAAGCCTCATTTGCTAAATAATGCCCTTAGGCAAAATGCGAAGTTATCACCTGCAAAGTAAATAATTAGTCTTTATGTATGAAGTATGGTTTGTTACATCTAATTAAAATATCTTCAAGTATGTTGTTTTATTATGTAAATACTGTTGTGTCACATTTGTTAGTAACTGAGCTCAAGTAAAATAATTTGTAGATTTCACAATCTAGACAAATATAATCAAAGTTTGCTGCGTGGAAGAAAGTGTGTAAATTAGTATAAATTCTACTATAACATAGCACAGTATTACAAATTAAAAAGAAAAAAAACTATTGATACAGAGAGAGAGAGAGAGACAGAAACATGATAATTCAGCAACAATATTGAATTTTCTTTTCTTTTCTTTTCTTTTTTTGTTATTCTCTTTTTCTTTCAGTTAGTCCAAACCAAAATGCTCGACCCTGCAAAAAACCATGTTCTTTAAGGACAACATGTTCCAACTGTACCAGCAGTGGCATGGAATGCATGTGGTGTAGCAGCACAAAACGATGTGTTGACTCAAATGCCTACATCATCTCCTTTCCATATGGCCAGTGTTTAGAGTGGCAGACTACCACCTGTTCTCGTAAGTATTTGCATTGATATTGAATGAACATACTTAATTAAGGTACTTAATAGAAATAAAAATGATAAAAGAAATAGCACAGGATAGAGTGTTCCTGTTGTGGGTTTCTGCCAGCCAGCAACCATGACCTTTTGCAAAATATTCCATTTCTTCATGTGTTTTGGTTTTTCATTTTTCCTGGTGGCCATATCCTTAAGGGTTTCCCCAATTTGTGGGACTTCCAGAGGAAGAAATGGCAGACTGAAGATGGCTCTATGAAAAGCGGAGCAAACGACTGAGGTGAAGAATGAAGAGTCAATGAATATACCAGCTCTTTGAATCTCTCTGTTCAAAAAGAGTATAGGAGATTGCTCACAAGTGCTCCAGACAGTTGCTCCTTATGAGGAGATTGGCCCCCGGCAGGTTTTGAGCATTGAGAGATGAGGGAATAGCCATCTTTTTCAAACTGCAATTGGTGCCTTTAAAAGGACACTAAGTCCACATACTTCCTTTTCCAATCACATTCATAAATTGCTTATTAACTACTTTTCAGCTATTAGAAACCTTTGGATTGACAAGTCTGAAAACACCAGTGAGTCTGCCTTCAATCATTAATGAAAGAAAATTTTAACTACAAGCTTAAGAACTTTTAAAAAAATTGAAATGAACAGTAAAAAGCTGTTTAAGACTTTCATTTTAGAAAGTTATAAATGAATTAAGAGTCCAGATAAATTTGAAATAAGATTTTGAAATTATTTATAAAGAATCCTTCCTGTGGGAAAGTTGAATGGTTTTGAATTGTTTTTAAACATAATAAGATTTTAAAAATTGGACACTAGAGGGAACTAAAGATTTCAATTAAAGGAGAAGAACATGACTTGACTAACAGTGGTGCAAAATATTCTAACACTGGAAATATTGAAGGACACTTTTAAAAAATGGAGTCAAAAGTTAATATTAACAATGTCAACAGTGATGTCTGTCTCTATGGATAGACTGTGTCTAATCGATGTTATGGAAGAGGAACAAGTTTTACTTGTTACTCTGTCTTATCGACAGAGACTGAGTTGAAAGTGGATTTATAAATGACAGGCTACAAGAATGACATGGAAAAAGTTGTTACATTGGACATACAAAAGAAATTGGCTGATGTTTTAATAATTAAAAGGGACATATACAGTGGGGCAAAAAAGTATGTAGTCAGCCACCAATTGTGCAAGTTCTCCCACTTAAAAAGATCTTATTTTCCACCATGATTTGCAAATAAATTCTTTAAAAATCAGACAATGTGATTTTCTGGATTTTTTCCCCCATTTTGTCTCTCATAGTTGAGGTATAGCTATGATGAAAATTACAGCTTATTTTCCACCATGATTTGCAAATAAATTCTTTAAAAATCAGACAATGTGATTTTCTGGATTTTTTCCCCCATTTTGTCTCTCATAGTTGAGGTATAGCTATGATGAAAATTACAGCTTATTTTCCACCATGATTTGCAAATAAATTCTTTAAAAATCAGACAATGTGATTTTCTGGATTTTTTCCCCCATTTTGTCTCTCATAGTTGAGGTATAGCTATGATGAAAATTACAGCTTATTTTCCACCATGATTTGCAAATAAATTCTTTAAAAATCAGACAATGTGATTTTCTGGATTTTTTCCCCCATTTTGTCTCTCATAGTTGAGGTATAGCTATGATGAAAATTACAGCTTATTTTCCACCATGATTTGCAAATAAATTCTTTAAAAATCAGACAATGTGATTTTCTGGATTTTTTCCCCCATTTTGTCTCTCATAGTTGAGGTATAGCTATGATGAAAATTACAGCTTATTTTCCACCATGATTTGCAAATAAATTCTTTAAAAATCAGACAATGTGATTTTCTGGATTTTTTCCCCCATTTTGTCTCTCATAGTTGAGGTATAGCTATGATGAAAATTACAGCTCTCTCATCTTTTTAAGTGGGAGAACTTGCACAATTGGTGGCTGACTAAATACTTTTTTGCCCCACTGTAAACAATAAACCAAGAGAGTGATCTGGATAACTTTTCTATATTGGACTTACAAAAGAGACTTGTTAAAGCTTTGAAGAATCTTGTGAGAAGGG